CTGAGACAAAGACTGGCCACCTACCTGGAGGTGGGCGTGGCTGCTCAGGGGGCCATATGTGGCTTTCCTGACATTGGTCTGTGTAGAGTCCCTGCTCTAAGGTCACACATCTTAGCCTTTAAATGCCATGCAGGCTGCAGAGACCCTTTCCCCTGCAGCTGCGTCATCCACTCTCGGTATTGAGGCTGTGATCTGTCAGCCAGCTACTGCTGCCAAGTGTTGGGCAGAGCGGCACCCCTCATATGACACTCTCATGCATTGGAGATTGTGGCTGAACGTTGTCAGTGGCGGTCACAGTGTAGACCCGTGATGTTTGTAAAGGCCTTTCTGCCTTGCTGGCTAATGAAAACCTCGGGCTCTGTACTTTTTCCTAAACCACATTTTGCTCAGTTCTTTCTTCTTTCCTTTCATGACAGTCACCTTTCCTCCAGCTGAAACCACTCTCTGCTGCCACCTGGGCTTTTCCTAATTCCTTTCTCTTCTGTCTCAGTACCTGCCTTAACAATGTTAAGGAAAACCGGAGGAGGTGTGTTTTAGGGGTGGTTGGGTGGAAGGGAGGGGCCAAGCTGTTTCCCAGACATCATGTCCTCACTCTCATGGGAGGCTGCTAACCTGTTTGCGGGAGGACTTCACGGATGTGCAGCCGACTTGGAAAGGAAGAGAGGTGGTGACCTGAGGCTGCTCTGTTCCCCCGAACTCTCCTGAACATGGTTGTGTTTGAGGGGTGTTTGTGTCCCCATTTGAGGTGAGGAATTGAGATGCAGGGAGGTTCATCTGCCAAGACCTTGCCAAGGGCTTGGGTTTTTTGTGTGTTTGTTTGTTTCATTCAGGTTAGTGCTGCCTTCCCAAGGGAATGGGAGCAGAACCTTGGGCTCCCCTGGAGCAGGTACCATGAGAGACCTTGTGCCTGAGGTGGTGATGCTGTGGGGAAGGCAACTTCCATGATGAGAAAGAATAAAATCCACTCTATGTTCTCAGGGGAGTGCTGGCCTCTGGGAGGACTGTCTTGATATGAGGTGGCAGCTGTCACTTCCCTCCGGGTAAGAAAATGATTTAAGCTTGGACTGCTTTTCTTCATAACAATGTCACGATGGTTGCATGCACATCAATACGACAGGTACTTGGTGTCCTTGGCTCTCCTATTCCTGGCAGAGGTAGGAACCATCCAGGCAGTTTCAGTGGCTTGACTTGGAATGCACTGGTTGTGTCTTTCTTGACTGAGGTGGACAGGTGGGGGGTGAGGTGAGGGATGTGTGTGTGTGTGTGTGTGTGTGTGTGTGTGTGTGTGTGTGTGTGGAGATGGCATTTGTGGTGTTTAGGGCTTCCCCTTGAACTTCAGTCTACTTCCTGATTCGTGCTAGGAGCCTGTCACCTCTTACAGTCCTGGAGAGCTGGCCGCCCCTTCCCTCTGTTTGACTGCCCATTCCCATTCCACTGGCTCATAGGCAGGATGTTGGAGTGCCCAGGGAGCAGGCCAGGGCTGGGCAAGAAGAGGGGGAGGTACTGGGCCATGAAACGGAGCTGTGGCCTTGGTGTGCAGCTCCTTCAGGGCTCTCCAGGCTCCTTCCCAGCTCGCCTGTGGGGTCACACATCCACCCATGACAGGAGTTGCCAGACGTCCTAGAGAACGGCAGCTCTGAAAAATGGTTTTTCCACAGGGAGGAGGGTTCTGCTTGCCCGTACAGCCCGAGGGAAGGCTGTCCTTGCTGCTGGCACTGGACTGGGTCTCCCTGCTTACCTGGAAGCCCTGCACGTGAACAGTTTCAAGCCGTGAGCCAAGTGTGTTATAACAGGCCTGGCAGTGAGTCACCTGTGTCTGTCTCTTAAGAAGCAATGCCTCACAGCTCCACCAGGTGGCTGTCACCATGTGAAGAGGACTGAATCTTATTTGTGTTCAGAGTTTTAACTACATTCCCATTTAGTGAAGGGCACTGAAGGGAGACCGTGGCCATTGTTCTGGGGAGTCTGACTGACAGGAAAGCTTTCCAGATCACGTGACCTCACTTGTGACTCAGAAACCCCCGAAGGCCGGAGACAGTTCAGTGTGCCGCAGGCCCATCATTCTAGCTGGTATTTTTCGTGTTCCTAAAAGAGTAAGGATGTGTTGGGGCTGCAGGCTCATTCTGGTTCGTGGCTTTGAGGGCCTTGCGTGTGCTCTGGCTCCGAGGCAAGTGCTGTGACATTACGGTGCTGGACAGAATGCCCGGACCCACATTCCCCTTTGGCTCTGCTCCTGTTAGGCAAGTGGCTTCTTTTTTTCTGGGCCTCAGTTTTCTCCTCTGTGAAATGAGTGAATTATGTTAGCTGATCTCTAGAAGCTCTTAACCATGTGCACAAGCATTTGAGCGATTTTGTTTTAATTTGGAAAAGAATAAATTTGTTAAGCATTTGAAACCAAATAGAAAAGATGAGGGAAGAAAGCTATATTTAGTGCAGACATTTACATTTTTTAAATTAAACTCTGCATTATGGTATTGATGGGAAGAACTAGAACGAGGCAGTCTTCACTATTCTCTCCCTGGTTCTAATATGGCACAGATGTGATAATAAAGTCCATATGCAGTCTACAGAAGCTATCTGATTAGACATAAAATGTTAAAAACAAAAAGCCCGATAAGTAAATTGAGCTATCAACTTGTTGGAGGCAGCACAGTGAATAAAGCAAAAACAAAAACCCACCAGCTACAAAAACATTGGAATGTGAAATTCATCTTCTTAACTTATTGGTTCTGTTTAGAGAAAGGAGAAATAGCTTCCCTCAGCATGTGAAGTAAATATCTTAATCATTTAAAAATCAAAGTGTAAAACTGAAATTGCAAGAGCTCTGAGTAACAAACATTGGTTTGTTCTCTTGTGTTCTAAACATACATGAGCCATCCTTGATGCATCCATGTATTCTAAATCACAGTTAGTAACAATATACCCTTTCAGTTGATTATGTTTTGTGTGTATCAGGGGAAGACACTGATATGAAGACAGCGTAATCTCAGTGTGATCCAGTTTCTGATGATGCAGCTAGTGTAGGGAGCATGACCATGGCGGCGTGGTCCCTCGGCCTTCGTGCTTTGCCCACAGCAACAAGTGGACTCAGTACTGCATTTCCTTCTGTGTACTCCCCCCTTTAAAAAAAATACTCAACTCTTTATTTTAGAAAATGACCCCTGAATGAAGACGGAACCCTCTGGTGGTTGCTGCTACCCTTCAGTAATCATGTTTCTATATGTTTTGCTCTCCCCCACCTTGACATCAACCTTTATCTTCATGTGGTGTGTCTATTAGCTGGGTGGCGTGTGGCTCTTGGAAACACAACCACATATCATCGTGCCACCTCCTTGAAGTGTGGAGTGTTAGATGTGAATGCATCGTAGACTTGGATCTAGGAGTTTTGTCCATGAGACATTTACATGAAAACAGAATCTTTGATTTTATTAACCCATCTGTTCCTTTGGAACTTGTCTTGATGCTCAGTGAGGGACATTGTGGCTGGTTGCTATGGATTTGATCGACACTAAATAAAAGATTGTGACTTCAGGTAGAAATTAAGTAGAAAGAACTGATTTCCAAAAAGATGGAATAAACTCAGATTTTGAAACGTTGGCATAGACCTCCTGTTAATTTAAGAATAATAATTGTGATTTTGATGAAAAAGTTTAAAAAGTTATTTTTGTAATGTGGTTTATGTCAAAGGTAAAACCTTTAATTAATTGATTTTTTTTAGTTAGAAAAGGGGCTTTTCATTTTTCAGTAGACCAGTTCCTCCCAATAACTATGTGATGAAACTTTGTCAACAAAAAATGTACGTGTATACACATGCATACACATGCTTTGTATATTATTATACATCATTCCTAGCAGTCTTTGAACTAAATAATTTCCCCATATGTTTATATTGAACAAAAGTGATGACAGCTTTTCAAATATATAATCTTAACTCTGGAATTTAAAATGTGACTTTGTTTTCAGTGTCCTGCTGATTCTGAATTTGAGGCACATTTTACATGTTCATGTTAGTATGCTTGAAAAGGAGTTTGACTATTTCTCTCTCTCTGTTCTTCTAATAAGCCAGTTAGTGGCACGTCACTTTACTTCTGTAAGCTCTTTTTCCATATCTGTGTAGAAAGGAAGCTGTAGGTATGGATGGGAGATGGGAGTTTGGGTTAGAACAACTTCTGACATCTCTTCCAGTTCTAAGTATTGTATAATATGGTGGAAGCAGAATGCTTTGATGGCTGAGTGACCATCTCTGTTTTTTGCACATCATCAACTTGTCTGCCACTGTAAGATTTCCTGTTATACCTGTGCTGCACATGGATTGCAGAAAGATGTAGAATAATTGAAAACGTATTCAGTAATTTGATTGACTGTTACATATTTAACATTTGCCAGAGGTGTCTTCATCAAAGAAGAATTTGGGCTAATTTTCAAAACCTTTAAATGAACAAGGCTGAATATGAGCAGAATTGGTGTCATTTATCAGTATCCATTCTTTAACTTCATTAGCAGAATAAATGTCTGTGCATTTAGTCCAAGAAATATATGTAGCTCTTCTATTTTATTAATGGTTTAGCCTTAATTCTATCTTCCTTTTAGTTTATTATAAGTACAATATAGTCACAAATTCTAGAAGATTCTTACCATCTTCCCCCTCCCACGAAGTACTTAAGCAGTAAAATAAATATAACTGTATTCTCTCTCTTCTGTTTGCTCTTTGCTGGACCTTTGGTTAGATGACTGTCCTTTCTCTACTATTGTCTTACCTAGTTCACAGTGATTTTTGTGTTCTTGAGAAAAAATCAATGATTTCAATTATGTTACCATTATTTTTATAATCAAATGATCAGAGAAGACAGGGTTAAGGCCAACAGGCCCTTTGAAATGGTTTCCTCCTTGCATACAGGGAGCAGCCAGAGAAGCAGGTACATTTGGCATCCTTATTGAAATAAATTAACCATTAATGTTGGTTTTGCGCTTTCTGTAGTAATGTTGTATCATTCATTTAGATATCCTTGGAACAGAAGACCTCATTGTGGAAGTGACTTCCAATGATGCTGTGAGATTTTATCCCTGGACCATTGATAATAAATACTATTCAGCAGACATCAACCTATGTGTGGTGCCCAACAAGTTTCTCATTACTGCAGAGATCGCAGAGTCTGTCCAAGCATTTGTGGTTTATTTTGACAGCACACAGGTAAGACTTTGTTTTCCATGGAGCCTTGAATAAGAAATTATCGTGTGCTATCTGTTTTTACCTACATTTTCTGCGAGTTCTCATAATGTCTGTGTTTGTTTGTGTATCTGTTTGTTTTTGCTACCTCTAGAAATCTGGTCTCGATAGCGTCTCCTCATGGCTTCCCCTGGCAGAGGCATGGCTACCTGAGGTGATGATCTTGGTCTGTGATAGAGTATCTGAAAACGGTAAGGCACATGGATGGGAGAGAAATTGGCACATAGGTTGCCGTTCCTTGGTCAACAGAATATATCTGTTTCCTTAACCTAGAGCAGTACAGCCCATGTGACTTCATTATGAAAATATTTTTGCTATTTCTCTTTGGAATCTTACAATATTTACATTTTTTTTAATGGATACTTTGCGGTTAAGACATCATCTTTTTGTTATTTTATTTTAGATGGTTTGAGAATAACATTGACATTAAGGGAAGCATATTGAGATTTGTGGAGGGTGTTCATGTTTTATTTTTACTTTTAAAGGGTTCTCTTGCATATTATTTTAGGTGTAAACCGACAAAAAGCTCAAGAATGGTGCATCAAGCATGGCTTTGAATTGGTAGAACTTAGTCCTGAGGAGCTGCCTGAGGAGGATGGTAAGTGCTTATATGTTAGTAGAGAGCATGGCATTTAGATTGATGCATGACAGATTATTTTAATTTAGGAAAGAGGAATTGCAGTGAAATTCAAAAAGTGCTTTTCCCTAGCTATTTGAAAGATTTGAGCAAAATCCGTTGACATGGTCTTCCCATTAGTACAGTGATCCATTTATTTGGTTTTTACCACCCATCTTGGGACTTTTGGAAAAAAGTTTTTCTTATGGATTAAGAAAGGCAGTGGGATTCTGTCTGAAATTTTGGCAATTTCCCTAGTCCCCTAGCTTTTCCCTGCTACCAAGGAAGGCGCTTAGACCTTCATCTATAGTTCTTATCTTGAATTCATAGTAACTTGAGGCTATATTCCGGGTACCCAGGGGGCATGTCAGACTTCTTTGTGTCTTTTGGACATTTGAAATTAAAAATAGACCCAGAATGTCCCCTGGGTAGCTCTGCATTCTCTGCTTTCTGCTGTTGTCTGGACCCTCTGTTTCTTCCCCTGCCCCATTTCTTTTCTCATCCTTTTCCCTTCCAAGTACACCATGTGGGATCTATCAGGATAAGAAGGGTTTTGGCCCACCCAAACCTTATAATCTGGTATAAGAAATAAAACATGTATGTAAATAATTGAACTGCCAAATGCAATGTCATGAGTATTATAGAAAACATACTGGTGCTGTAGTGTTTCAGAGATGCAGTCAGAGATGTGTTGGCACTGTGAGCTCTCACGTGCCACCTGCTCCATGGGGAAGGAGTAGAAAGGACCTGGACTGGAGTGAGAAGACTGTGGAAAGGTAGCATTGAGGAGACACCACTTCTTCCTGGGACATTTTAGCAGGGGCAGCCAGTATGTATTAAAGTATATAGATAGGATAGAAGCTATCATCTTATGAAACCAGTGGTTTTTTTTTTAAAGAAGTTAAGAAATATCTTTCTATATTCTGACTTTTTTAGAATTTTTCCAAAATGCTGTTTGGGAATAAAACTTCTCCATAGAAGAAAACAGAAGTGAAATAAAAGTTGATTTTTCTTCTTACACATTTTGGGAATATTGAAAATTAGCAAGTACAACTCCTCATGTTTTTCTAGGTCCCTGAAACCCTTGCCCTGCTTTGTGCTTGTGAGTGTGTGTAATTACTTGTTTCTGGCGCTAGCATTGTCTCTTTTTCCTATTGTCTTTGGGAATCGGTACCTAACTGTTACATTGTGGAATCTCTGCTACTTTAAATCACTGTGCTTCTCCTTGCTCTTTATCTGAACAGTTTTCTTGAATTAATTAGGTTTAGTCTTAAAATAGGTCTTTCGATGTGTCATCTTTTGGGAAGGTAGTGAAAACTTCCCTAGGATTGTTAATACAAGCTGCTTCCAGGCTGTATTCCCTTGTCTTTTATTTGCATGTGTTATTTGAATGCCAGTATGGGACTTGATGCTCACTTGTATTAAATTTCATCTTGTTGGTACAAGGTCTTCATTCCACGTCACTTTCTTGGTTCCTTGTTAAATCATCTAAAATATTAGTTATTCTTTTAAGAATTGAGTCATTCATAGTCAAGACAAACATGCCTCTTATGTCTTCATCCAAATACTGTTACACTTATCTTGATAGGGCATTTTTAGTTTAAGTCTCGCTGTATTTCTGTTAGGGTGACTGGTTTGTATTCCTTCAGTGATTCATCCATTTATAGTCGTAGCTAGTGCTTTTCAGGGATACGGTGCCAGGCAGTGGGTGTGATGAGCTCATACGACAGTATTCCTGCCCTCCCAGAATCTCCAGCCAAGGCAGAAGGTTATACCAGCAAGTTTCTGTTCCTCTAGGAGAGTGTGCATACAGAAGTAGCTGCCCCACTTTCTTGGAGGCTAGCGTAAGTGATTTGCCTTGATCAAATAGCTCATAAACGGTGGCACCTGGGGCACATTGAGCTCTTCGGATTTCAAATTCTGTGCTCTTCCAATTAAGCCTCCCAGGGTCAGGGCCAGGCTGGGCTGCTAGAAACAGGTTCTGTGTGGACTGCAGTCTGCAAACTCAAACTTTTCTTTTCAAACACATGGAAGCTAGTTCTTCTGTAAGCAGTCTTGTCATCGTCAGAATCTGCAGGGTCTCCAGTTCATTTGCACACAGTCACATCTGTGCTGTAGCTAAGAATATCTCTGTATTACTTACCAGTATGTTAGTTGGGATGACTGTCCTGTTCTTTTGAGTAGTATGGGTCAAATTCCAGAAGCAAGACAGTACTAACACTGACAAACTAGACTGTTGCAGTGACTCTTTGCCAGTCTCTTATGTGTCTAGTAATTCTACTTGTTACTCTTAAACTATCTTTCTCTGATCAATAAGTTCTTCGTTAGATGCCGAGCATTGATAGTATTTGTTGTTCTGTAGTTCCCAGCAGAGGCTAGAGCACCCATAGGATTTTAAAAACGTTAAGAGGACCAGTCTTGCCTTTAGGAAGCTCATTCTCAGTAGATGGGCATCACTAATGCTATGCCAGGATTGTGGAATTAGCGACCTCTTACATTTTCAGGAGAATGTGAGTGAGTTTTATTGGTGAGGCATTGGGGATGACTTTATTATATAACTCTAATGTTGTATGGATGTAATTGCTTTAGTTTCTAGAATATTCTTTTTTTTTTTTTTTTTTGAGTTGGAGTCTCACTCTGTCGCCCAGACTGGAGTGCAGTGGCCACTCCCGGCCACCGCAGCCTTGCCCTGCTGGGCTCTGGCGATCCTTCCACCTCAGCCTTCCGAGTAGCCAAAATTACAGGCATGCGCTACCATGCCCAGCTGATTCTTTGATTTATTGTAGAGATGAGGTCTCACCACCCAGGCGGGTCTCGAACCCACAGGCTCAGGCAATCCACTCACCTCCGCCTCCCAAAGGCGCGGGATTACAGGCTGAGCCACTGAGCCCGGCTTCTAGAATATTCTTATCAGGAGTTCCACACTGTGTATTTGCTTTATTTTTTCCTTGTACTTTACTTGTGTAAAGTAATACCTAAATAAGCAAGATAAACCAAAGTTATAGGAAAATGCTGGCTTGGAGGATAGATGTACACATTTATAAGAATGTATATGTATACATGTGCAAGTGTGTGCATAAATATATATATATTTCCCTTCCCTGATTAGATGATTTCCCAGAATCTACAGGAGTAAAGCGAATTGTGCAAGCCTTGAATGCCAATGTCTGGTCCAATGTGGTGATGAAGAGTGGTAAGTTACTTGAGACTGGTGTCATTTTTTCCCCCTGTGGCTTGTGAGTTTTAAATTCAGATATATGTGGAACCATTAGGATTATATGAAATCCGTAGATTTGTTTCCATTTCAAATACCTGGTTAGAGGAGCCAAAAGTAGCATTTTTGGGTACTTTTAATGTGCGTTTAATAGTTCATTGAATGCGAATTTAGAGGTCACCTGTAATATGCTCAGCATGGTCTTTAGCTTTGAGAAATACCTCCAAAATCATAAGACACAGACCCTATCACTAAACGTTCCTGGCCCAGCTGTGGAATTCAGATGTGCATGTTCAAATGCCTGGTTACTATACAGGACAGTCTGTGATGCAGGCAGTAGCTGCACAGAGTCAGAGGCGTGGCAGTTATATTAGGCTTAGAGAAGGAAGCTTAGAGTCGAGAACAAGTCGTGTGTTCCCAGTTCACCGGGTGGCACTCATCTGCAGATGAAGCAGGCTTAGGGGTGGCCTGGATGCCAGCAGGAAAGTGTGAAGACTGGTGAGTACTGAAGATGTTTGAACAAGGGAGTGATGCACAGAAGGGGGCATCTTTGAAAGCCTGACATAATAGTGACCTGCAGGGAGGCTTGATGCTGAAGGTCGGGACAAGCTGAAGTCAGGGTGACCAGAGCTGTTGCCGTGGCTCCGGAATGGGGTGTCACGGCCAGGCTTCTGGCGGCAATGGCCCAGGCAGAAGGCTGGATCTGAAACCCTGTCTGCAGGATGGGCTAGCTGGCGGCACTGACACTCCTAGTCAGCACTGCTTTGCTAGGGCTGTGGGAACAAAGCACTGCACACCAAAGTCCGAAATCAGTGTAGGAGGGCAGTGCTCCCCTGCTTGGCTCAGGGAGGGTCCGTACCAGGCTTCTCTTCCAGCTTCTAGTAGCTCCTTGGCTTGTGGCCATGTAACTCCAGTCCTCACGTGACATTGTCCCCGATTGCCTGTCCTTTTTATAAGGATAGAAGTCACATTGAGTTAAGGGGCTATCCTACTGCAGTATGACCTCATCTTAAGTCACTACATCTGCAGTGAACCGTCTCCGATAAGGTCACATTCTGAGGTGCCAAGGTGATGACTTCAGCATATGAATCTGTGGGGGACACAGTACAATCCACAATGTAGTCCTTTAGGAATTGCAGCCTGTGAGGTTGTTTTCTCTCTTCTAGCTCTTGGCTGCTGCAGCAAGTGTGCTCTGCTGAGTGAAACACTGCAGAAACACTACACTACAGAAGGCAGTGGGAACATTTTTATTTCACAGTGAGCTCACCCCGTCTTCCCTAAGGTCCAGAGTCAGGTGGAAGCTCAGTGTTACAAAAGTCAAGTATTTGTTTGGTTTTGGGAGACACTGGGGTGTTGTCTAAGACCAGCACCCTTCAGCTTGCCCCAGTGAAGCCTCATCTGGCCCTTGTCATTTTGGAGAAACTTCTCAGGCATAATAGGGTCTTCTTCCTCCCCTCCTTTACCCCTTTCCTCTCTGCCCCCTTGTTTCTTGCTAGAAGGAATGCAGTGTGTCTGTTACATTGAATTGCAAAGGTACTAGATTTTTTTTTTATTGCTATAGCAATCAAAATAAACCCCAGATGGATCTAGACCGAGTATGGAGATTTTAATTTTAGACTCTGCTGTTCTCTCTCTGTGACAAAACAAACTCCAGTTGAGGCTCGGCCCTTCCCATCCTTCTACTCAGCAATCCTTGTTGAGCGTCTGCCACAGGGAGGCGTTGCTCTTAACTGTCTATACTGTAATACGCTTGTGATTTGGCACAGAAACAGGGTCCATCTAGAATAAAATCATGTTCAGTGCTGCTTGTTATGCTTAGGAGAACTATTTTCATAAAATCTAATTTGACTTCAGTCACTTTGAAAAATCTTTCTCCCAGGTTCTTGCATTGAAGGAGTACTGCCCTATAATACATGCTCATGGCTATAAACTAAGAAGCTGGGCTGGACACACTTTATTACTTGGAAGTAGGTAAAAGATGTTTTCTGAAAAGATGCCATCTACTTGTTTTAGACACTAAATAATATTCTTAAAAGAACTGCAAAGCCGAGGTACATTGTGGATTGCTCACAGTTCTTTGTCCTGAGGTATTTTTGCCTTGAAGTGTTTTTGCTTTCTTATTTTTTCTCTACAGTACTGGCGCATTAATTTGCTATTAACCAAAATATTGCCATTAATTAGCTTAATCCCATGTTGAAGAGGATCCTGGCCTCTGTGGTATGAAGGAAACTTAATGATCTTCTCTGCAGAGGAGCCCTGACTGTGAAAATGCAGTGCCACTGGGTACAGCCTGGGTCTTAGGAGCTACTTTTTGAGCCCAGGTGCTGTGGGGCATGTAGTGGGTCATGTGGCTCTCCAGGGCCACCTCTCCCTGCTATCTGCTGAACTTTGCTCCATGGCAGTCCGTCAGAGTACAGTGAGCGGAACCTTCCTCGGCAAGTAGTTCTCGAATATCCAACTGTTGTCTGCCCACAGGTGCTCAGGCTGGTATAGTTGTTGAGGGGGGGAGGTCTCTGTCTTTTCTACTCCTTTTTCTATTTCATTCCCTCCCCCTTTTCTCTTTAAAGTTGTGGTTAAATATACATAAGATTTACCATTTTAAGTGTGCAGTTCAGTGGCATTAAGGACATTCACATTGTTGTGCAACCATCACCACTCAAAAAAAGTTTTAAGCTAAAAAGTTTTTTTAAGTCAAAAAGTTGATTGGCAAAGTAAAAAAGGATTATAGAGGCACTGGATACCTTTTTCAGGACACTAATTGTATTTTTTGTCACTTTTTTTTAATTGGAAAAATTACTATAATCACAACTGATTATTTGAGATATTGCATTGGGAATTTACATAATCCCAATGGATTATTTGGGATTTTGTATTGTCTGTTTAGTATTTATTGAGCAATAATGGAACATTTAGGTTATGCCACGCCAACCTGTAATTTTGTACAGTTGCATAAAAATATTTGTTTGAAACTCTCTTAAAAATCCATTTATGTGTGCCCAGTTTGAAAAAACAATGCCAACTCTAGTAAGAGTTATGGAAATTTAGCTCTTAGGACAAACTGCACTGAAGATTCACAAGTGTGACTAGGGTTTTATTTCTTTGCAGTTGGTTGGACACTTGGCATTCAAAGGTCAAATATTTAATCTGACAGTCTAGTCAATTAGAAACTTGGAGTTGAATAGCCTCCCTCCTGTCCTCCACCTAGATAATTTGGGTATTTTCCTACATAGGAATTCATGATTAATACATGCTAATTACAAGTCTGACCAACTTACCTGGTTATAGGATATTGTTATAATGTTCTTCCTGTGGTCTCTTCCTAAAAGTTAATAATACACAAGCAGCCAAAGGAAAAAAAAGATAAATTGAATTTCACTGAAATAAAAAACTCTTGTATTTCAAAGGAAAGTAAAAGATAACCCTTAACTGGGAGAAGATATTTGTAAAACACATATCTTATAAGGAACAGCAGAATGTAGCTAGAATGTATAAAGTACTCTTATAACTCAATAACAAAAAGACAAATAACTCAGTTTTTAAAAAATGGCAAATCATTTGAACAGAAATTTCTCCAAAGAAGTTATGCAAATGGCCAGTAAGCACATGAAAAGATACTTGACATCTTTATTCATCAGGAAAATACAGATCACAGTGGCATTGAGGTACCATTTCATACCCACTAGGATGGCCAAGATCAAAAGATACTAACAGGTTCTGGAGAGGAAATGGAGGAATTGGACTCTTCCACACTGCGGTGGAAATATACAGTGGTGCTACAGCCACTTTGGAAAGGAGGAGTTGCTCAAAAATTAAACATAGTATTATCAGTGACCCCACAGTTCTACTCCTGGGTATATGCCCAAAAGAACTGATAACATGTGCATGCAAAAAATTGTGTAAGATGTTCATAGCAGTATTACTCATAATTGCTGAGAACAAAGTGTGGCATATTCATGCAGTGGAATATTATTCAATCATAAAAATAAAGGAGGAGTATTTGCCACAACACGGATGAACTTCAGAAACATTGTGCTAAGTGAAAAAAAAACAGATACAAAAGGCTGCAGATTATAGGATTTCATTTGTATGAACTGTCCAGACTAGTTAAGTTCATGGTGATGTAAAGTAAATGAGTGGTTCCCAGGGGCTGGGGGGAAGGAGTGCTAGTGGGTATCGAGTTTCTTTTGGGGATGATGGAAATGTTCTGAATTAGTGATGATGGCTGTATACCTTTGTGAATATACTAAAAACCACTGAATTGTACTCTTTAAAAAGGCTGAATTATGCTATATGAACGATATCTCAATAAGAAGAGAGGAAGGAAAGGATGCCACTGTGATGATAGTGGTGGTGACAGAGAGAGGGAGGCGGTGGTTTCCAGTGCGCAGTGGTTCCAAGGGTGAGTTGGTATATGCTGTTAGCAACTGGTTGCTGCAGGCTTGTCTCATCTAATCCTTCCAATACCACATGAGAGGCTCAGAGGTCAAGTACTCTCCCAAGGTCATGTGGCTCCTCAGTTCTCAAACTGTTGGAATTACCCAGGAACGTTAATCATCTGGACGCTGATGCTTCCCTTGCTTGGCGCCCTTTCATTATATCCAAGGGAGGGGTGGCTGCAGTATTGCTACATGCCTGGGTACTCAGGATTCAGTGTAGAGAGCCATGATGTAGTGATAGTCACCTGCTTCTAAGCTGTAGTGATCAGTGCTCAAGTCCTGCGTTTTGAAGCCATAGTAGTCTCCTGGCCTGCTTTCTCCAGTTCCTAAATTATCTGTTACTCGAAAGTGACTTTTTAGGTCAGAGAAGGAAGGCAGGACATGGGTAACATGGAGTCGTCTGTAGGGAAGGTGACAGTGGTGGACGCTTCCCTACATACTTCCTCTGCACTTGTTTCTAGTGGGGCTTAGTATTATGCAGAGGTCACCAGTGCTGTGTTAAATGGTCCTGGCGATCTGAAGGACATAATGCAGCTAGTATAA